TCACATGCTCAAGAAGGACCATCAGCCTAACAATGGATCATTAGCACACTGATGGCTGTTTACTGTTCACAGAGGGCTGAGTGATACTAGCAATCACAGCATTGTAAGAGGGGGACAGTTGAACCCGGAGGCCTCCACCCCTGTTTAATGATGGACGATTTCTTTTCACAAAGATGGCCTCCTTTACTCCTCTCTCAAACCATCGTTCCTCTCTGTCCAGGATGTGAACATCTTCATCCCTGAAAGAGTGACCGCTGGCCTGGAGATGAGTGTAGACCGCAGAGTCCTGGCCTGATGATGTTGATCTTCTGTGCTGGTCCATCCTTTTGGTCAGTGGCTGTTTAGTTTCCCCGATGTAAGACTGATCACCCTCCTGACACTGAACAGCATACACAACATTACTCTGTTTGTGCCGGGGGACTGGATCTTTGGGATGAACCAGTCTTTGCCGTAATGTATTTTGGGGTTTAAAAGCCACTGGGACGTTATGTTTAGAATTTAGATGTCTACACTCATCTCCAGGCCAGCGGTCACTCTTTCAAGGATGAAGATGTTCACATCCTGGATAGAGAGGAGCGATGGTTTGAGAGAGGAGTAAAGGAGGCCATCTTTGTGAAAAGAAACCGTCCGTCATTAAACAGGGGTGGAGGCCTCCGGGTTCAACTGTCCCCCTCTTACAATGCTGTGATTGCTAGTATCACTCAGCCCTCTGTGAACAGTAAACAGCCATCAGTGTGCTAATGATCCATTGTTAGGCTGATGGTCCTTCTTGAGCATGTGATCAGCTGGTTTTGGTTGTCAGCAGCAAACTGGTTGATCCACTCTGAGAAGGTGCTATTTAAGAGACTGAGCTGAAAACAGCACCTCAGACTGAGGAAGTCTCTTGGATGAGAGACAAAATGTTTCTACATTTTTTTGCTTTGTTTTGTTTTTCTGAATGTCCAGAGGACCAGATTCAACTTTTTTGGATAAAACATAATTAGTTACTTTATTGTACATGCAACTGTCTCTTTATTGCAACTTTTTCTTTATTTTGTGTTGTTACCTTACACATTTTTTTTCTCACTTGCTCTGGAACAAGGCGTACGCATTCTCTTCCCTCTCCCTGTTCTCCTGCTTTTTTTGCTCTCTGTGTATTAGAGCTCCTATTTTTACACATCTTTAGAAATGAAAACTACTGTTATGGATCTACCATACCATACCAGCTTTATTTATAGAGCACTTTAAACAACCAAAGGACCAAAGTGCTGTACACACAACAAAACAATCATACAGTCAGATAAGAAAAATGATTAAAAGTCACATAATAAAAGTTGTGTAAAAAACAATCAGATAATACAAGCAATTAAAATGATTAAAAGTCAAAATCTCACATGGTGTCAAAGGCCATGGAGAAGAGATGGTTTTAGGAAGGGATTTAAAAACCAAAAGGGAAGAGGCCTGTCTCATGTTCAAGGGAAGGTCATTCCACAGTTTAGGAGCTGCCACAGCAAAAGCACGGTCTCCCCTGAGTTCCGATCTGACCAACTGGACTTTCAACGCAAATGACAAAATCTTTTTAACAACGCGACAGGGTCCTGGAGAACTCTGTCTGCCCAGTCGACATGTATGCAGCTGGATGTCTTTGGGGAAGTGGAATGTGATGTGTCTATCTCTGCTGTCGATCGAGGATGCCAAAATTGCATATAATTGGATTTATGATAACAGGTTTCCTGTTTTTGGAATTGTCTGGTTCCTGGTTTATCAACATACAAAGAATATGGCGCAGCTAATCTAGCCTGGTCAGGCTGCTGCCGTCTGGTTTGTGCTTTGAGGACTCAAAATAAGCTGATTTATGAGTTAAATTGTAAGATGGAAGTGATTTATGAGAATCGCAGGCCACTTACAGCTTTGGAACTCGCCAGCATGTTGGAACGACCTTGGAGGGGCTCGTAAGCACGGACCAGTAGAACGCATCCTAATCTGGCCATGTCGGATTTTGGAAATACCAGTAAGACTCGAGGCTAACAAGAAAAATAGTCTACCCGGGAAAAAAAACCACTGTCGGAGAGACAGTCAGACGCACATCTGAGCCGTGCGCTGTTTGTACCAATAGTTTTCGAGTGGCGGGGGTGCGTTCAGCATGAAGGAAGAGGCTGACTTTAGCTTTTTAGCTAGTGCACCTTCATTGCGAGCCGCTAGTTTAGCGTTACGTCAGTGCCGATAAGTGGTTGGGGGTGGGGGGTGGGGTTCAGTAGACGGGACGCTCGGTTCTGTTGACGGGGCGGGGCGCCCTGCTTGTATAATGGTAGGGGAAACACTGACCACTATCCTCTCCTCGTGGCTTTGTCCCTTTTTCTATCTAACAAATGTGTTCTGAAAAGGATAAGAGGCCGCACTCTCAAAGAGCAGCAGCTACGTGAACTCCGCCCATCTTTCGGACTACTGCATGGACATATTCTCGCTGTATCTCGGTACAATCATAATAAAGCTTATTTTGATTCCGATAAATTTTGCACATTTTGTATCCTTAGGTTTTCACCTATTTGTAAATTTGTATTTGTAAATATTTTTATCCATTGGTGCTCCAGTTTCCTCCCACAGACCAAAAACATGCATGTTAGGCTGACTGGTAACTCTAAATTGTCCCTAGGTGTGAGTGAGAGAGCGAATGGTTGTTTGTCTCGTTTGTCTCTATTGTGTCCCTGTGATGGACTTGCGACCCGTCCAGGGTGTCCCCCGCCCCTCGCACAGTGATTGCTGGACATGGGCACCAGCGACCCTCATGACCTAAAATGGAAGAAGCGGGTAAAGATGATGGATGGATGATGGATGGATGATGGATGGATGGATGGATGGATGGATGATGGATGGATGATGGATGGATGATGGATAGATGATGAATGGAGGATGGATGATGGATGGAGGATGGATGGATGATGGATGGATGGAGGATGGATGATGGATGGAGGATGGATGATGGCTGGATGGATGGATGGATGATTGATGGATGGATGGATGGATGGATGGAGGATGGATGATGGATGGAGGATGGCTGGATGGATGGATGATGGCTGGTTGGATGGATGGATGATGGATGGATGATGG